GGTATTTTTGTCACTTCCACAAAAATATGGCCTTCATCATGAGGATGGAATGTTACGGAAGCAGGAGCATTCTTTTCACTCAAGCAAGGAAGTGGGTGCCACAACTTTACTTTATGGTATGGAATAAGAATACAATAATATCATGAGTGACAAAGGTTTGTGCTCCATATCACTATTTATATATACTATAAGCAATAGAAATAAAGCAAAGAGAACCATAGGATTTCTCAAATCTCCTTTGGAAGAAGTCATGGAGATGTTGACATGATTCTATAGAAAAGGCATCATTGAGTGATAAGTTCTACGTAACATACCTATGCTTAATTTAAGGTTACTTTAGTCTACTGGAGAAGAGTAAATTGATTATTCATTAGGGCCTTCTAACGAGTCACTGCATAGTGTGGATGTGAGTGTGCGCGCGCGCGCGTAATTTTCATGTGCGTTAATATACCAAAAAACGACATTTGCCCTTAATTTTAAAATCTACGTACTTGTGTCTTGGTTGGTTCAGTTCAAAATAAAAAAGCTTGTTCAATAATAAATCAATGAAAACCTATGTTTGATTGATTTGGGCCAATCCTATCGGTCCGTTTTTACCGGTACACCAATCAATTAAAGCTTGGCAACTTTTTTTTTTTTATATATATTTTATATTTTTCAATTCTTATTATTATTTATTTTTTAATTCTAATCCAATATATTCGACCCAAGTCTAACCGGTTTTTACTAGACTAGAAAACACTTATTCAAATTAAGAATACTATTTCGTATTCAGGATTGTTACTAAGAATTGATTAATTATACCGATACTCTACTTTGTGCTTGCATGTAACGTTTATATCTTGTGTCCCAATTATAGAAATCTGAGTATTTTTTTTTAGAAAATATCTCTGCAGAACCAATTTTTAAATTTTATTTTTCCATAGATCCAAAATTTTCAAACCTATCTTACAACATTGAGATTTCATCTTTTATATCTTCTAACCCATTAAACTATGTTTACCTATTTTTACCTTAACTTTTTAGCTTAAACAAATTTGAAAAAAAACCTCACTAAAAAAACCTAGCTTTCTCTCTTCTTTCTCTATCTTCACGTGCTTCTCTCACGGGGAGAGAGAGAGTTGGGGGACCAGTGAGAGAGACATGGGGGAGGAAGAGAGAGACGGGGGTTTGGGAGATTGGAGAGAGAAAGAGCAAAAACATGGAGAGAGAGAGAGGGGTTTAAAAATGATGTTTTTGTAAAATTTGTTTGGGCTAAAAAATAAGATAAAGTTGGTTTAGGGGGCTTGAAGAAATAATAAATAGAATCTTTATGAAGCTAGATAGGTTTTAAAGCCTTGAGTTTATAGAGAAATGAAACTTAAAAATAGGATCTATGGAGATATTTTCCCTATTTTCTTTCTATATCTTTCCATAGTAATCATTTTCGATTAGTTTTATTTTGTAAGACGTGTGGAGCAATGAATAAAATTCAATTTGTAGCAAGTCAATTTTTTTCATTAATAATTGTATTATGAAAAATTTATGTTTGGGCCAAATTTTTTTAATTATAAAATTTAGGAGTTTATGGCTTCACTGATGGTACAACCTTTAATAGAGCAAGTGTATGTGACCCCAATTTGTTGGAAAAAGGCTCTAACGATGATGATGAAGCTTAAGGTTTAGACCAAAATAAAATTTGGCTTATGTAGTAGCATGTGTGCTCTCTGTGTATCTGGCCTCATGTTAAAATTTGAAACCCAAAATTTTCTATTTAAAAAAAAAAAAAATCTCTCAAATTTTCTTGAGTTGGGGGTTTTGACGTCATCCTAGTATACAGGGTTTGAGTTTTAAATGATATTGTTGAGATACCTACCTAAATTTTCTAGGGATAA